ACGGAGTTGCGTACCGGAAAATCGGTGGTAGGAGAACCTGGAGGGCCTGGAGGGTCTGCAGGTGCCCTGCCTGGTCCCCCGGCACTCGAGGCGGCGCGTGATGCTCCATCTCATGAGCTGCATGACTCCGAACCGGTTGGTTCGCTCGACGAGGAACCAACTCTGTCGCACGTGGCGCCGACTCGCGGTGGCGCGTCAAAGTTGCGGCCGCGTTTCGGCCGGACGTCCGTCTCCCTGCCTCGGTATCATCCGGCAAGGACGAGAACCGACTGATCGCTTGGTAAAGAGCCGGCCTGGGCGTAGGTACCGTCGCGCAACGTCACGCGCGTCACCCTTTCCCCTACCTCGTCGCCCCTCCAACGCCGCCGCCGCCGCCGCCGCCTCCCTCCAACGTGCGCAAGCCTGTACACACGATTATGACAAGGAAGGCGGCGCGGTTCATAAATCAGGGGGTAAGGGGCGGTGCCTCGCTGAACCACTCAGCGCCCGGTTATTAATTATTATACGGAGGGGAAACCCTCCCCTCCTCTCACCCACCCTTTCGTTTCTCGCCGGCGAGCCTTCCGCCTACGCCAAACCGACCGCGACTTCCGGATCCACGACCTGCGAATCGGCCACCAGGCTGATGCATGCTCGACGCGTTCCGCTTTCGATTTTGTTCCCCAGTCTCTCTCCCTCCCTCCCTCTCTCTCTCTCTGTTGCCTCAGGAAGCAAGAAAGTGTCAACTCTCAACGTCCGGATGGATTCTGTTGTCTCGTCTCCTGGAATGCGTCTAGACGTTTCTTTTCTCGTCTTCTGCCCGTCCCTTCCTTCCTTCCTCTCCTCCTTCTTTCTTTCTTTGTTCCGCAAGAGGAAATTCCCGATTTGAAAACGAGAACCGGAGATTTAGGAATTTGAGTCTAATACTTTGCTTGGAGAGATAGCTATTATCGAGACACACAGGAGCTGCTTAAACGATAGAATTATCAGCGATCAAAGCATAGAAGTTTTATCAGAGACATTCAAATAAAAAAAAAAAAAAAATAAAACTTTGTAATACAACGGAGAGTACACAAGCTCCTATTTATACATTTTACGAGATATCATTTAAAAATATGCTTGCTGTTTATGCTGTTTCACGAAATTTATTAATTATAAATTTAACGAAAATTATAAATTGTAAATTGGCCATTTCCACCAACTTTTGAATCGCTTCTCATCGAAAGCTTCGCAGTATTTCTTATTTTGCAAATTCATGCACTTTGGATACGTTAGAATTTTCACACCTTTCGATCGATTCGAACGTCATTTTTAAAAATCGCGAAATTTTCGAGAATCTTTTGTATATCCCGCTGCCCTTGAAGCGGCAACGTTAGAGGAACTATGCCCATTGTACGCTCTCGTTTCAAACTGTGTTGTACGCGGGACATTTCCCAAGAAAACCGCACAATCCAGTATCTAAATCAATCTCGACATTTGTCAAGAATAGCATCCTCGAATTCGAAGGAGGAAACCAATCGTTTCGACTCGAGAAAAAAAAAAAAAAATGGAAACTTCTGTCTTATCGACAGCGTACTTGGTCTATCTCGTCGAACGACATTTCGCTAACATACAGCGTTTCGTGTAATTTCACGACGAACGACGATCGATGATTCGCGTAGTCAGTCGTGAGACAAATTAAAGATCGATAGTTGGCCGCAAGAGCGTGCTAATTTGCTATCGATTGATCGACTGGCAACGAGGCTTCACAGGGACAAACGGAGACAAACGCAGAGCAGCAGAGACAGAGAAAGAGAGAGAGAGAGAGAGAGAGAGAGAGAGAGAG